AAGTCATGTAATTAAGATGATCAGTATTAATCAATCTGTGTGTGCGACTTGTGTTTTATATATTTAGTAAAACAGCCTTAATGTTTCCTGGATGGGCATATTTTTATCACCGATTCATTGTTTGTGTTGTCTCGTTCAGTTCATATACGGTTTATATGTTGAGCGTCACACTCCACATTCCAGCTCTATTGCGTTATGCTGAAAAAAATCCATTGTGGACCAGACAATCCAGTGATTGATATCACGAGCGTTACTTTATATGATTCTGTTTGGATACAAGTTGTTGGCTACCAATAGCCTGTTTATATTATGTATTGTCCAAATAATGCTATTAGTTTTAACTTGACATGCTAGATTTAATTCTAACTGTGACGACAGGTTTTATAATCTGTACATATTGTTTATAAACGTCTAATTTGTTGTTGTTAACATCGTCACGATATGGCTAAAAAATTGCCGAGATGACGTTCAATATTAACTCACTCACTATTTGTGAGCGAGCCTGATCACCCAATCGCCTTTGTTGACACACGACAAACATGGGTTGCTGAAGACTATCCCTGATCTTCACGGGGAACGTTTGTATCAGGGCATTAACCCAATGTTCAGAACGTAAATTGATCACACCACGCTCGATACGCTATGAGGAAATTATTTCTGGTGTCCCCAGGAGTGATGTTGTTGCCAAACGCGCCATCAACGTGCTGTGGTTAAGTGCTGTCTACTGCTGTTAATGGATTAAAGATGACACGATTAACTTTTTCAGTTCAGCTATTACTGACCCGTTACCCAGAATTGGACTTCAGCAACCTATGCTTGGTGACTAACGGGATCGGGTGGTCAGGCCCGCTGACTTGGTTGACATGTGTCATCGTATCCCAATTGCGTAGATCGATGTTCATGCTGTTGATCACTGGATTGTCTGGTCCAGACTCGATTATTTACTGACCGCAGCCATGCAGCTTGAATATTGCTGAGTGCGGCGTTAAACAATAAAGAAAGCTATTGCTAGGTGTGTGTGTGTGTGTGTGTGTGGGTGGGTGGGGTGGGGGGCTTACAGTGTCACTTCATAACAACCATTGCTTGGTGACACGCTTGGATGGAGAAACCGAATGCATGACTGTATGATGCATAGGAGACTCGGTGTGCTTGCGTAAAGGTATGCGAATGTGTTTCAGGGTTACAGCGACCTTGCTCAACGCCCTGGAACGAATTGCCTTACACGGCAGATTGTTGCCGTGTCCCTTTGTCGTCTATTTCATATTGATGTTTGTTGGCTTAATTGACGAAGGACCAAAGACATTCACTGTCATAACTGAATAACATGATATCAGATCTGCTATCTTGTATGTGTAGTCGTCATAGCATAGTGAAGTAGCGGGCAACATTCCTTGTCGATAGCTCGATAATCCTGATTGAAGGCACGCCTTCGACTAATGGTACGTATACGTCGAGCAAACATCCACTAATAATAAATGAAACGAATCATTGATGATTTCAATATTCAAACTATACCATTCAATAACCTGGAAATATATTTCTCGCATGTTTTCGATATTTGAAAACAGAAGCCCTGACTGATACAATTAATATGTTGGTACGCTCTCGTGTATGATCAGGTTCCCGTGTTACTACACTTGTAGGCTAATGTTAAAGTATGGGAGTTACGATCACCTTAGCGCTAAGATTTCATTGTGAAAAGGGGATCCAGTATCGTCGGACTGTCTCCTTTAGGGCCCGTAAAACCGCGTTCTCTCGTGTATCACCAGTGTAGCAAGGTTCTCTCATTTATGCTTAGTGTAGTCGGACATTCCCATTTAAGACCAATAAAGGCGGAGTCATCCCATGTATATCCAGTATCCACTGGGTGGACACTGGCGTTTTACAAATATCCATTATTATTGTTATTATTTATCCAGTAAGATTCTCTTATTTATGACCAGATAGCCAGTCTCTCCTCGTTGACCAGTATGGCAAGGCTCACTCACAGTTCACACATTTCTGACGGTTCATTCGCAGGAAGGCGACTTTTACAACCTGGATAGAAGGCAATCTCCCGGTGATAACCTGGTAACACTACACCACAACGGGTCCAAGAACAAACAACAGCCTTGAAGATTGGCATGGACGCTTGAAGAAGTTGGTTGGCAAGGCCCTTCCACACTTTTTCGAATTCCTTCTTTTCCTATTAAGAGATCAGAGATCCACGGAAATCAACATGGTGCAATATGCCGCCGTTCAGCGCCTCCCACCAAAGAAAAAGAAGTACAGAGATCTGCAAAGGAAGCTTGAGGATCTCTAGTGGGAGTTGGATTTCAACCAGATGACTGTGTGTGGGTATGCAGACACTGCATCATATGTACTTGACATGTTAGATGACACTTTGTACACATTTTAATGACTGAGAAGGACAGTGGAAGTGAAATATTCTAAAAAATGATACGATGATATTTGTTATTTTGCACATATTTTAATGACTAAGAAGGACAGTGCACGTACGTGGAAGTGGAAGTGAAATAGTTTATAAAATGATATACTTATTTGTGACCAATAAAGCAAGGCTCACGTATTCGTGACCAATAAAGCAAGGCTCACGTATTTGTGACCAATAAAGCAAGGCTCACCTATTTGTGACCAATAAAGCAAGGCTCACCTATTCGTGACAAATAAAGCAAGGCTCACTTATTCGTGACAAATAAAGCAAGGTTCACGTATTTGTGACCAATAAAGCAAGGCTCACCTATTTGTGACCAATAAAGCAAGGCTCACGTATTCGTGACCAATAAAGCAAGGCTCACTTATTTGTGACCAATAAAGCAAGGCTCACTTATTCGTGACAAATAAAGCAAGGCTCACGTATTCGTGACCAATAAAGCAAGGCTCACGTATTTGTGACCAATAAAGCAAGGCTCACCTATTTGTGACCAATAAAGCAAGGCTCACCTATTTGTGACCAATAAAGCAAGGCTCACGTATTTGTGACCAATAAAGCAAGGCTCACCTATTTGTGACCAATAAAGCAAGGCTCACCTATTTGTGACCAATAAAGCAAGGCTCACTTATTTGTGACCAATAAAGCAAGGCTCACGTATTCGTGATCAATAAAGCAAGGCTCACCTATTTGTGATCAATAAAGCAAGGCTCACATATTTGTGACCAATAAAGCAAGGCTCACTTATTCGTGACAAATAAAGCAAGGCTCACGTATTCGTGACCAATAAAGCAAGGCTCACGTATTTGTGACCAATAAAGCAAGGCTCACCTATTTGTGACCAATAAAGCAAGGCTCACCTATTTGTGACCAATAAAGCAAGGCTCACTTATTTGTGACCAATAAAGCAAAGGTCACGAATTCGTGATCAATAAATCAAGGCTCACTTATTTGTGACCAAACAAGCAAGGCTCACTTATTTGTGACCAATAAAGCAAGGCTCACGTATTTGTGACCAATAAAGCTAGGCTCACGTATTTGTGACCAATAAAGCAAGGCTCACTTATCTGTGACCAATAAAGCAAGGCACACTTATCTGTGAACAGTACAACAAGGATCTCTCATTTATGCCCAATGATGAAGGACATTCTCATTTAGATTAAGGGCAGGGCCCTTCTTTTATGGCCAGTATAGCAATGATCTCTCATCATGGACCTCTCATTTGTGACCAGTATAGTATGGATCTCTCATTTGTGCCCATAATAATATGGGCAGGACCCTTCCTCTATGGCCAGTATAGTATGGACCTCTCATTTGTGCCCATAATAATATAGGCAGGACCCTTCCTTTTTGGCCAGTATAGTATGGACCTCTCATTTGTGACCAGTATAGTATGGAACTCTCATTTGTGAGTTGAGATTGATAATACGATGTGCTGTTGAGATTGACATCCTATCATCGACGGAAACAATACCAGCGCCTTGAGCATGTAAAAGTTGCGTGGATATGTGCGCTATATAAATAACCTATAATAATAATATGAAGACGCCATAAGAAACCAATATGCGCATACGGCACATGGTCCCAATGTAAGTGAAAGTGTATATTGAGATATGATAACACATAACGATCACGATGTCAAGAACACATTTCCTACCGTGTTTCAACATTTGAATGCAAGCCGTGTTCCGAAAGAAAGCCGCACACTTAAAACATGTACATATATCATCGGGAATTTACAACAACCTGACATTGTATGATTTTTACGACCACATGTACATCGTGCATAAAATGTATTTTATTGCAGGGTGTCATCCGACTGCTTGCTGATGGGTTAACCCCCTTGATCATGTGGGCAAGTTTCGTAAGTGCCAATCCCGTCATGCAACGAGTCACTTTTATGGCCATGACGCAGACATTTATTACAATCGTTCTTCTTCCTAAAAGGGCGGTGGAGCAGCCTAGTGGTTAAGGCGTTCGCTAGTCACGCTGAAGACCCGGGTTCGATTCCCCACATGGATACAATGTGTGAAACCTATTTCTGGTGTCCCCATGATATTGCTGGAATATTGCTAAAAGCGTAAAACTAAACTCTTCACTCACTCACAAAGACAATCAAAGCAAAATGCAAACTGATGTTGAAATTAAAATTATATCAAACTAATATGGTAATGCTAATTGTGGTTAAATCATTTTTACTTCACAAACAAACCTCACGTGGTCCACCATAGAGAATACATTCAGCTTCGTCCCAACCCTGTTAATCGGGCATTACTATATGGAGTATGTCACTTGTGGTCTGTGACGGGTAACTTCAACACCAGCGTATTTTATACTATTATTGTTTCGTACACCTCACATATATTTGGGAAGGGTGGAGTAGCGTAGTGGTTAAAGCGTTCGCTCGTCACACCGAAGATCCGGGTTCGATTCCACAGACGGGTGCAATATCGGAAGCTAGTTTCTGGTGTTCCCCTGTCGTGATATTGCTGGAATGATGCTAAAAGGGCGTAAAACTAAATTCACTCACATCGAGTAGGTAACGGCGTGGACACCACCACGTCCCTTCAAAAACATCAGTCCCTATTACCTGAGGAAACAGATTCTATCGAGCTTGAAAATGAGGGTGACAATTGTAGGACAAGATCATCAGTGATGACACCAGGTGTTCACAAAGACAATCAGCACATCCTGGTTTTCCGGTAGACATACAACATGCCTCAATTCGATGTGTGCCATCACTGTATTGCATGGTGAAAGATGTTGGAAATCGCAGGTTTTCTTATGTGTTCATTCACAAAACAGTATCCCGTTATATCGATAATGTTCTGTCTGGAATCACCGTTGTTTGGAAAAGACTTATTCCTGCCGTCGACATAGAACTTAGCAAGAAACATGCACCTGAAAATGCAGAAACAACATTTATTCTTTGTCTCGATTTGTTTAATGTACTTTTCCCATTAATAGTACGTTATAATAAATATGAATCTTTATTCTGGGGTAAAATAATTTGGTTTCACACAGTTTTAACCAGGCAGCAACTAGTCCTAACATATTACTTCAACTGTGTGAAAATACTGGCGCGCTGCACCATCATCTTCGTACTAAGATTTTAAACGATCGAATCGGAGGAACAGCAACAGGTCATTCACAAACCCACGACACCAAATATGGATCAATCGGGATGCGATCCCATGATCCCATGATATCCGGTGTCTGTGCACACACACACACACACACACACACACACACAACATAACAGTGGTATGTCATGCCGAATACAATGAACATTTGTCTTTGTAACATCGTAACATTAGGGAATATTATGGTAGAAATTAACATTGCTTTGATTTCAAACCGGGTTAGTATATAATCTAACTCCATACACCACGACCCGTGAAGATTCGGGTTAGATTTGGTCTTCAGTAACTCATGCTTGTCGTAAGAAACGACTAACGGGATCGGGTGGTCAGGCTCGTTCACTTGGTTGACACATTCATCTTATCCCATTGTCATCTTACCGATCGCAGCCATATAGCTGGGATATTGCCGAGTGCGGCGTAAAACTAAACTCACTCACTTACTCAATACGCCACACATAAATGTGAATGTTTTTGTATATAGACATGTATTATTGAAAGTCATACCTCCGAACACGAACGTGTAATCATACACTTGTGTGACGTCATAAATGAAGCCTGAAAAGACACATAAACATCATTAACACGCCTTATTTGAATCATGTATTCCTGTCAAAAGAATTCTTACATTTCATAATATTGTATTTGATGCAAACATCTAAAAACCTTGCTAGATTGAGAACAGTCACCGACCCGCTGCAAACATGTGGTCCAAATTGAAACCCATAATCAATATAGTCATCATATAACTCTTGTTACATGTTAAGCAGCTCTTTAATATTGGTGTATACTCAATTTGCTCGGCAATATATTATCGATGATAAATATAATCAAAACGAGTTTAGCATGTCTGTGCACATTAAGGTTGTCTTGTACGTTTAACATGAACGTTCTCAAATGTAAAATGCAACGTGCATCACGTATTCTTAGTACTGATGTCATTTGTGGCTGACTGTAAAATAAACCGTGTTGCCGTGCTACATTGACCTGCTGACAACGGATTAACTCCTAAGTTAAATCAGCTTTTCAAACACGAGGTACCAAGGGAACTATTCTGATAATGGACTCACATCCCCACCCAATCCCTCCCGTAGCTGTACCCTTGTTGCCATCTTGTATCTGATCCCATTTATCAAACTGTGCACGGTTTATTCACATACGACTTTCAATGGGCACGTAATTTCATACTCAGCTTGCACGGGAACCAAATGCCCCTTGTTAAGCGCATTTTAGCAGCTACTAGTTGAGAAAGGCGGTTTGTGAACTCTAAATGTTGTTTTAATAATTTAAATTGAATTTAAGTAACACAAATTGTGCATGTCTTTCAAACTTACTTGCAATGACTGGTCCCAAGAGATATCCAATTCCACAAGAGAAATACACAATTCCAAAACCAATGGCAACGTCAGACAAACTGGTAAGTTGTATAGTTAATGGTCCCATCAATGAATTTGTTCCATGGCTGTACAAGCCATACAATAATGCAAACGCTATCTGGCAGTGATATGTACTGGAAAACAGGGGAAAGAAGATGGTGATGAGTCCGGTAACACCAACAATCCCAAACTGAAGCAACGTGTATTCCGTACTGGGACTGGAAGCCATGAGACCGATGACTACCCTCGTGAAGATGCCACCGGCTCCCATTGCACTGAACAGACTTGCTGCCTGTCGTGGTGAACTGCCTTTAATTTCTGCATAGTTCGGAAGATGGAATATACAGGCAGCGTCACCTAGCGACCAGAACAAGATTGTAAAGTTGTACATAAGAAAATCCCTTTTTGTCATTATATTTAACATAAGTCGTATATTACAACATTGGGTTTTCGGTTCCTCGTTGGTCTGTGTTCGAGGTGTGATGTCTTCTAAGAGAAATGGAATTGTTGTTTGATCTGTGTTGGTATCCTTCGTAGGGTTTGTACCAGCAACTGTCGTATCACTTCTCGGAAACATTTCATCGGAGTCTTGAATGGATGCTTCTTTGGCTGATACATCATCTTCGTCTTTGTGGACAACTATGAAAGATTCGTTGGAAGGTATTGATGGTTTTCGCAGTAAGGATGCCGCAATTGACATATGGAAAGAAATGGCCCCCATTATCAACAAAGTTCCATGCAGGTTATATTGGTCAAGAAGGTATCTTGTGAGAGGACCTGCTATGAATAGCCCCAGAGCACCTCCTGCCATGCATACGCCATAGGCTGCTGGCCTCCTCTTCTCGAAGTAGTGACCAGGGACCACGCCCACCACGTTTCCACAAAGGGATAATCCAAAGCCTAAAAAGGCAAAAGATTATAAATTAAGTAGCGAATACATATTGTTTTACGTCACAGTCAGCAATATTCCACTGATTAATAATTAATTAACTCACCGCCGGTAACACATGTGATTAACAACATGAACAACAGTGTGTCTGTTTGTTGTTTAACGTCTAACTCTGCAACATTCCAGCTATATGTTGTTCTATCGACGAGGAGTGTTGCTTGCTACTTCACTACGACACTTGCAAAATAACAGATCTGGTTAATATATTATTCAGTCATGACTGTGACGATCGTTGGTCCTCCGTCAAGTAAGTCAACAGACATCAATATGGAAAAGACTACAGAGGCATGCGACGGCAATCTGCTGTGTAAGGTAATTCCTTTCGGAGCGTTAACACAATTACCATTGAACAAGGTCGTTATACCAATGACACACATTAGCAAGCCTTGGCGCAAGCACGCCGCGTCTCTTATGCGTTATACAGTCTTCCATTTCTGTTTCTCTATGCAAGCCTTTCACTAAGCAATGTAATAAAATGCCTTGCAGAGACATTGTAAGTCTGAATCCTTGCAGAGACATATCCCTGACTAGTAATAGATGTGTTTGCTGTTTAACGCCACACTTAGTAATAGTCAAGCTATATGAATACACGATGCCATTTAGAAAGTGAATGTAACACATGTTACATTTGAGATTACATTTTCTCAATAAAGTGCAGATTCTAGTACTCTTGTTGGGTTGAATCCCATTGGGTTGAATCCACACCGGGGATTCAGAACCCACACCGGCACAGAAAGTAAGCCGTCTAACCCGGTCAGCCAGCGCAGCTTCCACAAGCCATCTATCATCTATGCTTAGCCTGTATGTACCCCTGCCCATCCAAGGAATATACCAATTCACCAGCAAATAAACGTTATGCAACCAGTGCTGTGGTATTTGGTGCATGTGAACAGTAGGACTGCTTATATATTCCAAACATTCGCGCTAGACTGTATATGTGACATGGGAGCATTGTGTACACTGGAAACTATATCGACGTTATATGATTACACTCAATGTCGCTACATGATACGATCTACGCAAATGTTCTCAGTGACAATACAGTGCGATATTTACCAGGGTTACCTTCAGGTTCTTGATGAGGAGAAACTCAGAGAGGAGCATTATAAGTTCGATATTGTATTGTTGAATATTATGTTATTGAAATGTGTCCGTATTGTTTCACGGTGGCTTGTAACGCAAAAAAATAGCATCAATATACAAACTGTCACTGACGGGACTATATTTACCAATATAAACCAATACACACACATTTTAAGCGAATAGATTTAGTATGCGGTACAAATGAACAGGTATTGTGGCTTTGAATTTCCGAGCTTCCGAAGACCCTAACTTACAAAATACGGCTTCGATATTTTGTGATATATGTCTCATTTTGTAGGTCAATCTATTGGCTTGAAAAGCGTGTACTGTTTCAAAGGAATTTGTCCTGAAACGAACATGGTGTGTAGACCTCCTTACACCCCTTTCCTTTGATATCGTGTGAATACACAATGCCATTTAGAAAGTGGTCGAATGTAACACATGTTGCGTTTGGGACTACGCTTTCTCAGTGAAGTACAGATTCTAGTACGCGTGTTGGGTTGAGTCCCATCAGGGATTCGAAACCACACCCTCAGAGAAAGTTTCTTCGTTACAGAGAAAGTGTAATCTCAGATATAACATATGTTACACTTGACCACGTTCTAAATGACATTGCGTATTCATAGCTTTCGGCCTTGGGAGTCGGGTCAATTTACACTTATCAGATGGGTTTGTGGTCCAGACTACCATCTGTCCTACTTCCATTTTTGTGGAACTTGCGCCGGCTGAGCGGGTTAGACGGCACTTTGTGTGCTGGCGATTAGGTTCCTGACTCTGAGGCTGTGGGTTCGAAACATGTTTCAGTAATATAGTGGCTAGGCTCAGTTAGTGGCAATATATACCTTGATGTCGGTTCGGGCGGCGGGGTAGCCTAGTGGTTAAAGCGTTCGCTCGTCACGCAGAAGACCAGTGTTCGATTCCCAACATGGGTACAATGCGTGAAGGTCATTTCTGGTGCCGTGATGTTGCTGGAATATTGCTAAAAGCGGCGTAAAACCCAACTCACTCACTCACTGATGTCGTTTCACACGCATTGCCTCATATTGCCTCATATTTAATATCTTCGCGAAATGCGAGACACAATGGTTTGATATATTAAGGCTACATATTTGGAATTTGGAATATAACGCGAGAGCTTACCTGAAATAAATCCGTATGTAACCAACAGCCCTGTTACTGTCCGACAAAACGAAGCGATAGTCATGCCTAATAACACCAGAATTGCACCACCAAATGTTGTCAATTTGGAACCAACACGATGTTGAATGATACCAGATACAGGACCTGCGGGAAGAACATATTTGAAGGGGATATAATTTTTGATAAAGCATTGACAACAACAGATATTTGCCTATGTACGTATGAACTTAAGGAATCCCGGTTGACATCAATATCTAGGTTAGAATTGGTCTTGCTTGTTGTAACAGGGGAGAAACCGGATCGGGTGGTCAGACTCGCTAACTTGATTGACACATGTCATCGTATCGATCTTGCATTTATCGATGCGTACACTGTTAATCACTGGATTGCCTGGTCCAGATTCGATTATTTATAGACCTCCACCACATAGCTGGAATAAGAGGCGTGAATCTTATGCGTATCCGACAATTTCAAACATGACAATACAAAAAAGGTCGCACGTGCGGTGTACATGTTCTTGGATGCAAACGTATATCCTCGGGTGACCACAAGAGATCTAATGACATACATTAATCCTCATTTCAATGTGTTGCCTTCACAGAATTATTGATTTGCATGTACGCAAATGAAAGTTTGTTGCGTGTTTCTCGAAAAGAAGCAAGCGCGACTACGAATAGTTATAGAAACATTTTGCCAGTTAGGCGTAGCTTAGCCATCATACGAGTATATTTCATATGCATGGTAGGTGAGCTGTCTTGGGCGCCAGGCTAGTGATCCAGCGAGTTTAAGGTAACGGGATCGAGCCAACCTGTGACCGGGTGTAAAAAGCAAGTGTACAACTTTGTGTGCAGACTCTTTCAGTGTTGTCACAACCCCTAGTGTACAGTACACAACCCTGTGTACTTAAAAGAACCTACGACTCAGTTGGTAAATGAGAGTTGAGATTGATAATATGATGTGCCTTTGATATTGACATCCAATGATCGAGTGAAAGAAACCCAGCGCCTTGATCATGTACTAGTTGCGTGGATATGTGCGCTATATAAATATTCTATAGTAAATAATAATAATTTCATTATACATTCGTCATCAGCATTTTGGCTGCATGTGTGCGAAGTAATCCCTGATTTCAATTGTTCTGCTGTTTTTGAATTTTCTTGTGTGACATGCTACACCAATATATGAAAATGATTGCTGCCCTATTTTCTCTCATACCAGTCGTTTCTATTGGTAAAAAAGGTTGATGCATAAATATACAGTGCATATCAATGTTTACATCTATGTCCTACCTAAAAGCGTGAATGTGCCACTCTGACATGATCCAATCCATGACGTTTTTGTGATGTCATTCTCCACCTCTTCCATGATAACGATGTTAATGACTCCTGATGAAAAAACAACTGAATGCTGAGCGCTGCGCCTAGGGCCACCCATGCGTACCCATGGTCGATGTCGTTCCTGTGCGCCATCCTTCACGGGTTCAGGGAATGGCAGTCTGTGTATAGAAGAAATGCACATAATCAGAATGACATGTTTGGAGGCGTCTGTTCAGAAATATGAATCTAGGACACGTTTACGCTCAGTGTATATAACACAGTTATTTCCCCCACGTTTCTCCATCTGTCTTAAAAAAGGAGAAGCAAATCCATATTTCGTTTTGCTGTTTATGCATGAACTAAAGTCCCATTACATTTGGGCAATTTTATAACTATTGCTTGTCTGTTTAACAGAGGCGAGAAAGCGACTGTTATTAGATATTTATCAGAAGGTTTGTTGTATCAAATAGGCTTACATGCTGATGAAGAAGTTCATTTTGAGTCGAGCATTGAGAGTAATTTAGCCTTTAAATACACTAACATGGCTGACCATATCTTGATCCTATATTGTCATTTACATCAGTGAGTGACATGATGTTAGAAACATATTACAAATGAATCATAACTACTTACACTTTACATCGAATAGATCGATGTCGACAAGCTGCACAATGGCGGTTGTTGTATGAGTATCGCGGATGACTTCATTGTATAATTCATGGCAGACCGAAACGGAAAACACCAGATGCGTTTCACCCGAGCGAGTACTGATTTACACTATGTCGATTTCGAAGAATTATATCACTAGCTGCCACGTACTCTATGATAAAGATATTTTTATTCAATGAATTATAGATATTTTTCTGATCGTATGCACCGACCTAATATTCATTGATTCATCTGTTAGTACCTGAACTCAGGTCACAATCCAATATTGCACACATGCTTACCATTAACGTGAAGATTTGCTGAAGTCATTTAGTCTGTTTGCACAGCCTCATAGACAGCACAGCCACCCTAAAGTATGGCTGAATACTGCTCCGTATATCAAGTCAACACTGTACAACACGAGAAGGTGTTAGAGATTGTCCAGTTATGTGAACGTTGATACTTAGACAATGACCCATCAGAGGTCAAATGCAGGTTACTCACGGGTGTAAGTATAGGTCATCATAAGGTCACGCCCCCAAATGTTTTAATGCAAACACAACGTGAAAATTCATGGTAAACCCTTATTATTCAGCAATTTAGGTTGCCGCCTGAACATCATACGTTTCTGGTATGACCGACATAAGTCGCTGGTACGACCAACATGGGTTGCTGACATGATCGTGATTGGTTGGGGCCATAACGAGATATCTTGCTGGTACGACCAACATGGGTTGCTGACATGATCGTGATAACTTGCTGGTATGACCAACATGGGTTGCTGACATGATCGTGATAAGTTGCTGGTATGACCAACATGGGTTGCTGACATGATCGTGATAAGTTGCTGGTACGACCAACATGGGTTGCTGACATGATCGTGATGAGTTGCTGGTATGACCAACATGGGTAGCTGACATGATCGTGATAAGTTGCTGGCATGACCAATATGGGTTGATGACATGATCGTGATAAGTTGCTGGTACGACAAATATGGGTTGCTGATAGGATCTTGATGAGTTGCTGGTACGACCAACATGGGTTTCTGACAGGATCGTGATAAGTTGCTGGTATGACCAACATGGGTGACTGACATGATCTTGATAAGTTGCTGGTATGACCAACATGGTTTGCTGACATGATCGTGATAAGTTGCTGGTACGACAAATATGGGTTGCTGATAGGATCTTGATGAGTTGCTGGTACGACCAACATGGGTTTCTGACAGGATCGTGATAAGTTGCTGGCATGACCAACATAGGTTGCTGACATGATCTTGATAAATTGCTGGTACGACCAACATGGGTTGCTGACATGATCGTGATAAGTTGCTGGCATGACCAACATGGGTTGCTGACATGATCGTGATAAGTTGCTGGTACAACCAACATGGGCTGCTGACATGATCGGGATGAGTTGCTGGTACGACCAACATGGGTTGCTGACATGATCGTGATAAGTTGCTGGTACGACCAATATGGGTTGCTGACATGATCGTGATAAGTTGCTGGCATGACCAACATGGGTTGCTGACATGATCGTGATAAGTTGCTGGTATGACCAATATGGGTTGCTGACATGATCGGGATGAGTTGCTGGTACGACCAACATGGGTTGCTGACATGATCGTGATAAGTTGCTGGTACGACCAATATGGGTTGCTGACATGATCGTGATAAGTTGCTGGCATGACCAACATGGGTTGCTGACATGATCGTGATAAGTTGCTGGTATGACCAACATGGGTTGCTGACATGATCGTGATAAGTTGCTGGTACGACCAACATGGGTTGCTGACATGATCGTGATAAGTTGCTGGTATGACCAACATGGGTAGCCGACATGATCGTGATAAGTTGCTGGCATGACCAACATGGGTTGCTGACATGATCGTGATAAGTTGCTGGTACGACCAATATGGGTTGATGACATGATCGTGATAAGTTGCTGGTACGACAAATATGGGTTGCTGATAGGATCTTGATGAGTTGCTGGTTCGACCAACATGGGTTTCTGACAGGATCGTGATAAGTTGCTGGTATGACCAACATGGGTGACTGACATGATCTTGATAAGTTGCTGGTATGACCAACATGGTTTGCTGACATGATCGTGATAAGTTGCTGGTACGACAAATATGGGTTGCTGATAGGATCTTGATGAGTTGCTGGTACGACCAACATGGGTTTCTGACAGGATCGTGATAAGTTGCTGGCATGACCAACATAGGTTGCTGACATGATCTTGATAAATTGCTGGTACGACCAACATGGGTTGCTGACATGATCGTGATAAGTTGCTAGCATGACCAACATGGGTTGCTGACATGATCGTGATAAGTTGCTGGTACAACCAACATGGGCTGCTGACATGATCGGGATGAGTTGCTGGTACGACCAACATGGGTTGCTGACATGATCGTGATAAGTTGCTGGTACGACCAATATGGGTTGCTGACATGATCGTGATAAGTTGCTGGCATGACCAACATGGGTTGCTGACATGATCGTGATAAGTTGCTGGTATGACCAATATGGGTTGCTGACATGATCGGGATGAGTTGCTGGTACGACCAACATGGGTTGCTGACATGATCGTGATAAGTTGCTGGTACGACCAATATGGGTTGCTGACATGATCGTGATAAGTTGCTGGCATGACCAACATGGGTTGCTGACATGATCGTGATAAGTTGCTGGTATGACCAACATGGGTTGCTGACATGATCGTGATAAGTTGCTGGTACGACCAACATGGGTTGCTGACATGATCGTGATAAGTTGCTGGTATGACCAACATGGGTAGCCGACATGATCGTGATAAGTTGCTGGCATGACCAACATGGGTTGCTGACATGATCGTGATAAGTTGCTGGTACGACCAATATGGGTTGATGACATGATCGTGATAAGTTGCTGGTATGACCAACATGGGTTGCTGACATGATCGTGATAAGTTGCTGGTATGACCAATATGGGTTGATGACATGATCGTGATAAGCTGCTGGTATGACCAACATGGGTTGCTGACATGATCGTGATAAGTTGCTGGTACTACCAACATGGCTTGCTGATATGATCGTGATAGGTTGCTGGTATGACCAATATGGGTTGCTGACATGATCGTGATAAGTTGCTGGTACGACCAATATGGGTTGATGACATGATCGTGATAAGTTGCTGGTACGACCAACATGGGTTGCTGACATGATCGTGATAAGTTGCTGGTACGACCAACATGGGTTGCTGACATGATCGTGATAAGTTGCTGGTATGACCAACATGGGTTGCTGACATGATCGTGATAAGTTGCTGGTATGACCAACATGGGTGACTGACATGATCGTGATAAGTTGCTGGTATGACCAATATGGGTTGCTGACATGATCGTGATAAGTTGCTGGTACGACCAACATGGGTTGCTGACATGATCGTGATAAGTTGCTGGTACGACCAACATGGGTTGCTGACATGATCGTGATAAGTTGCTGGTATGACCAACATGGGTTGCTGACATGATCGTGATAAGTTGCTGGTACGTATGACCAACATGGGTTGCTGACATGATCGTGATAAGTTGCTGGTACGACCAACATGGGTTGCTGACATGATCGTGATAAGTTGCTGGTACTGACCAACATGGGTTGCTGACATGATCGTGATAAGTTGCTGGTACGACCAACATGGGTTGCTGACGCGATCGTGATAAGTTGCTGGTACGACCAATATGGGTTGATGACATGATCGTGATAGTTGCTGGTACGACAAATATGGGTTGCTGATAGGATCTTGATGAGTTGCTGGTACGACCAACATGGGTTTCTGACAGGATCGTGATAAGTTTGCTGGTATGACCAACATGGGTGACTGACATGATCTTGATAAGTTGCTGGTATGACCAACATGGTGGTTTGCTGACATGATCGTGATAAGTTGCTGGTACGACAAATATGGGTTGCTGATAGGATCTTGATGAGTTGCTGGTACGACCAACATGGGTTTCTGACATGATCGTGATAAGTTGCTTGGCATGACCAACATAAGGTTGCTGACATGATCTTGATAAATTGCTGGTACGACCAACATGGGTTGCTGACATGATCGTGATAAGTTGCTAGCATGACCAGCATGGGTTGCTGACATGATCGTGATAAGTTGCTGGTACAACCAACATGGGCTGCTGACATGATCGGGATGAGTTGCTGGTACGACCAACATGGGTTGCTGACATGATCGTGATAAGTTGCTGGTACGACCAATATGGCTTTACTGACATGATCGTGATAAGTTGGCTGTATGACCAAGCATGGGTTGCTGACATGATCGTGATAAGTTGCTGGTATGACCAATATGGGTTGCTCCACATGATCGGGATGAGTTGCTGGTACGACCAACATGGGTTTCACTGACATGATCGTGATAAAGTTGCTGGTACGAC